AAGTTACTGCAAATATGTAGATTGGAGTTTTCATTCTGCATATCAGAACTCAATAACTAACAGTGCATTTTCTTTTTAGCGTATCATCTGACTCTAGCATATTCTTCTGTCATGCCAATTAACCTTCACTACATCATGAATCTTCTCTGTGGTCTTCTTCTTTACTTTCTGCCTGGAACTCTATATTCCATATCCTTTGTCCTATATATCCACTATCCTTGCTCTGCACATTTCCATACCCTCTCAGCCTTGCATCTCTAATTTAGTCTCCAAACAGTTCAATGTGAGTTGTTCTTCTGATATTCGCATTTCTTCCTTCTCCATCATATCAGTCAGCTGCCTCCCTTTACTAGTCACAGTCCCATCATTTAAAATCCTTATTCTCACTTCAAAAAGAATCTTAGCAGCTTGTCTGTGTTTACGTGTTCTACTAACTTGTGTGTTTTGTCTGGGCCTTCCCAGTGTGAACATCTCACAATGGGCATATTTCATTGGCCTAATAATCACTATATTACGGAGGAGTATGATTATATGATGATACCTACAAAAAACATTTTTATCTTGCTTCTTGAGGTATTCCTCGAACTGTGAACTGAACATTTGGTACACTTTACACAAGTAAATCAAAAGAACTGTACAAAGGCAAATCAATGAGAGTAATGAGAGTAAAGAAAATACAGAAAAAAAGTCGGAAACATATGTTTCCGGCTTTTTTCCTGTATTTTTTTTTTCTTTCTTTTGCGTAAGTCTGCCCCAGGGCAGCTGTGGCTACAACTGTAGCTTGCCTCTGCAGTGTGTGAATGGGTGTGTGAATGGGTGGATGACTGGGTGTGTAAAGCCCTTTGGGGTCCCTATGGGGGAACTAGTAAAAGCGCTATACAAATACAGACCATTTACCATTTAAGTTGTTAACAATAGAGTCACAGAGTTTGATTTACAGAACTATAATACAGGATGTGCTGGCTGCTGGCCAGCCTCTCTATGTTATGTAAGTCTGACACAGCTGGGAATGTTATGCAAAACGGTAACTTTAACATCACAATTTACTTCATTGCTCGAGTCACTTATATACACAAATACCCGGTATGCCAGATAAGAGCATACCAGGTATTTGCCGACGCAGTCCAGCCCTGTATAGAGGTTAAATTACTCTATGCGTAAACTGAGTTTTCACTTCAAAACAAACCTGGATTTTTCCGACGTCCCTGGCGCAGCCCACCACTTTCATTCCGAGCCGGACCAGCTCTACTGCCACAGCCGCTCCAATCCCAGCCGAGGCTCCGGTCACCAGAGCCACTCTGCCCCTCCAGCGCTCCATCACAGCCCGGACACCGGTAACCTACTACACGCACGAAAAGCACCACAAG